TACCTTGCACTGGCTGTAGAGACGTGGGTGATGGTCACGCAGATGTGCCATTAGATTCGAAGTGTTGCTGCCTTTTGCAGACACTTGTTTCCTGCACGTTCTGCAAACGGGATAGCCGTCTTCTATTAACTGTCCCTCAGCGTTTTTCAGAAATCCCAAATATGCCCATACTTCCGATTTAGTCTTCTTTGAGGTCTGATGGATGTCCTGGGCGCTGCCGTCTCCTCCTTCGGCCATTATTTCAGCTTCAAAGTTTTGGTGCCGTTGCAAACTAAAAAGTGCATGTGCGCGCCGCGGGAACTTCAGCTGAAGCGACGGTGGCTGGTAAGGGTCATCGCGCCGAAACCGCGGCCACGGTAAACCCACCGAGATAATATAGTTTTTTAAAAACTGGACGGTTATTTTTATTGTCAACTTTTTTACCGGGGTTTACCGCTATACCGGTTACCGTGACAACCCTACTCAGAAGGACAGTGGACACTACCAGATGCCCCTGCCCTTTAAAGGTACAGGGCCACCTGCCCTCCCCAACAACAAAAGGTTAGCCATCATTCGTTTGCAACATCTAAAGAAACGTTTAAGATCTAACGAACATTACCGTGAGATATACACGACCTTCATGGATGCAGCTATCAGGAATGGTGTTGCAGAACCTGCTCCTCCTATTCAGGATGGTGAGACGGTGTGGTACATCCCACCTCATGCTGTATATCATCCTAAGAAGCCTACCAAGCTTAGAGTAGTTTTTGACTGTTCAGCCAGATTTCAAGGCATGTCTCTTAATGATACCTTAACGACAGGTCCGGATTTGATAACTTCTCTGGAGTTCTCTGCCGCTTCAGGAAGGAAGATGTGACCGTTACTTGTGCCATGTTTCATCAGTTTTATGTACCACCAGATCTCAAACTACCTTAGGGTCTTATGGTGGGAGAGAGGCTAGTTAGACACCGAGCCGAAAGAGTACCGAATGGCAGTTCACCTTTTTGGGGCTGGCTCATCACCAGGATGTGCAAACTTTGGCCTAAAATATCTGTCTCAGCAACACAAAGCCGAATACCCTTTGGCATCTGATTTTATCGAGAACCATTTTTTATGTTGACGATGGTCTGATTAGCGTTAAATCTGTTTCAGAAGCAGCAGACATCCTGTCAACACGCTGGCTTTTAGGTCCACATTTTCTATGGCAGCCAGTCATAGAACTAAGACCATTACTACAAACTGGTATTTCTTTTTGAGAGCGATACCTGATTCCTTTATGGTATGTGTTGGAATGTGTCATTTTCTGATGTCTTCGAAATCATATCTGAAAGTTATATGTGATCAGATATGATTTTGGTGGGAGTGTAGCTGCCAGCTGAGCAGCTGATGGCAATGACCCTTAATTGGCTCACAGAATGTATATAAGCCACACCCTTCCAGAGGAAATTGTTTGGGTTAATCTGTTTGTGGAGAAGTTAACACTGTTTCAAGTATTGAAATTAGGTCTTAAGCCTAAAGTCACCTCAGCTGCACATTGCCGACTGCATCCCCACGTAAGTTTTGCTGTATTGACACTTTTGTTTGGGTTATTAGTTTGACACTATAGTCATTGTTTGTATTTTCCTGTCCATCACCTAGTCAAATCTACAGATAAAGCAGCTTTGAGGAATTGTTTTGTTTAGCACCCTTGGCCAGCGGAGCAAGGTAAATGAGAATATAATCCAATTTCTGTTATGACATTGAAGTTGTGTTCACCTTTTATTTATGCTTCGTACATCTCCAAACAGTTTTCACGGTGCAACTCGGAGTGAAGTCCAAGGCATTTGGACCAGAGAAACAAATAAAAGTTTATGCACCAGTCGAGGCTCTCCGTTCATTTTCTTCATGGTGCCAGGGGCAGCTACAGTAATATTCTTACAAGAGACTCATAGATCTGCCACATCCGCAGATGAACTTAAGACACCTGAGTTTCCCAGCATGTTCTCTGCCTGCTATAACTCTAGGCAAAGAGGTGTAGCTATTTTAATACACAAAAACATCAATTTCACAGTATTGGACACAGTTTCTGATCCAGAGGGTAGATTTATAATGTTAAAATTATCTGTACAGAACAAACGCTTATGTATTGTCAGCATATACTGTCCAAATATTGATGACCCTCCATTCTTTCATAATTTTTTCTCTGTACTCTCCGAACACTTGGACTGTCCACTTATACTTGGAGGTGATTTTAATTTTTGGATGAATTCCTTAACAGACAGGCTCAGTACAGCTGGGGCTCAGCGCAATTGGCAATCCACTAACATAGTTAAGCAGTACATGAGTGATTATGGGCTTTGTGATGCATGGCGATCTCTTCATCCTAACCGTAGAGAGTATACTTTTTTTCGCACATCCATCACTCTCACTCACGTTTGGATTATTTTCTAGTCAGCAGCTCATTGTTGGCTGACAATTCAGACACTGAGATACACACCATAGTTGTCAGCGACCATGCTCCGGTTTCTTTAACTCTGGTAAATAAGAAGACAATCCCACCAAGCAAAAACTGGAGGTTTAATACATCACTGCTTAAAGACGAAGGTTTTATAAAAAAAATTTTAAAAGGAGTGGGCTTTATATTTAGAACATAATGACCTGCCTGGAACATCAGCACCTATTCTTTGGGAGGTAGGAAAGGCAGTGATGAGAGGTAAAATAATCTCTTTCTCATCACATAGGAAAAAAACAGAAAACAAACGTATTCAGGAGTTAGAGGAAATCATCAAGTCTTTAGAGGCATCCACAGAAGAAGAGTCAATGAGCAAATTACGTAAAGCTAAATTAGAACTTCATGGAATTATTGACAAAAAGACACAATTGTTAGCACAAAGAATAGAAAACTTCGAACATAGTAATAAATCAGGTAAATTCTTAGCTAGCCAATTAAAAATAAAGAGAAAACTACCATATCTGCTGTTAAAGACTCAACCGGGAATATAGTTAATGACCCTGAAAGAATAAACAACACCTTCAGAGACTTTTACCAAACTTTGTACTCACCACAGATAAACCCATCAGATAATGAGATCAATGAGTTCCTTGACAGGATAACACTTCCTAAATTATCAGACAGCCAAGTTACAGTCCTGGACTCGCCACTAACATCAGCGGAGCTCAAGGAAGCCCTTAAATCCATGACTAATAGGAAAGCTCCAGGTCCAGACGGGTTCCCAGTAGAATTCTACAAAGAATTCTGGATCATTCTGGCTCCAACATTTTTCAGAATGGTGAGGGAAATCGAAGAGAGCGGCAGATTACAGCCAAACATGAATTCAGCCAATATTAGACTCTTGTTAAAACCAGGCAAAGACCCACCATTTCCAACCAGCTATCGCCCAATTTCTCTTAATGTTGATCTCAAAATAATTTGTAAAGCCCTGGCCAAAAGATTAGAGAAGGTAACCCCCTTCATAATACACCCTGACCAAACTGGTTTTATTAAGGGTAGACAGTCATCCACAAACTCAAGTAGATTACTTAATTTGATAGATTTCTCTTACAGTAGAAACATAGAAACTAGTATATTATCTCTAGATGCAGAAAAAGCTTTTGATAGAGTTAACTGGAAGTTCTTATTTGCAACTTTACATAAATTTGGCTTTGGGAACTTCTTCATAAACTGGCTAGAAACATTATACAGTTCACCAACAGCACGTGTCAGGACAAACGACCAAATATCAGCTAGCTTCTGTCTTCAGAGGGGGACCAGGCAGGGATGCCCACTCTCCCCCTCACTTTTTGCTATCTTTATCGAACCACTAGCAGCAGCAATTAGGCAAACAACAGATATTAAAGGAATAAAGTGTAAGAAAATAGAACATAAGATCAGTCTTTATGCAGATGATGTTTTACTCTTTCTCCAGAATTCTCAGTCCTCTCTCTCCCAAGCAATAGAACTGATTAACTCTTTTTCAAGAGTTTCAGATTACTCTATAAACTGGTTAAAATCCACAGTTCTACCAATTAATTTCTCATTTGTCAATTTGCTTAATACACAATTGGAGTCAGGGAATATCACATACCTGGGAATTAATATCTCTCCCAAGTTAGCAGATCTAACCAAACTAAACTACATCCCACTTTTAAGGAAAGTGGAAGATGATCTTGCAAGATGGAAATCCTTACCAATATCACTCATGGGGAGAGTTGCTACAATTAAAATGATGGTCTTACCCAGAATAAATTACTTATTCTCGATGATCCCAAACAAACCACCAGCTGACTGGTTTAAATCTCTGGACTCCTCAATTACTAAATTCCTTTGGCAGGATAAACCTCCACGAATTGGCTTAAAAACACTTCAGAAGACCAAAGACAGAGGAGGACTGGATTTACCCAACTTTTATTATTATTCCTTAGCCAACAGGCTGCAATATATACCAAGATGGTTGCAAGATAACCCACTAGATGAGTCCTGGTTAGATATAGAACAGACACTTTGCAATATGATAGAGCTTTCAGACTTACCATTTATTAGCTCAAGCATAAGAAAACATGAAAGCTTCAAAAGTATTAGTATCAGTACCTCTCTGACAGCATGGTGAGAGTATCTTAAAATGACCGAGTCTTCACTAGTACCATGCAGACGCACACCTATCTGGAATAATCCTGACATTTTGCAAAAAAACAAAATGATGAACCTTCCGGACTGGAAAAATAAAGGAATCCTATACCTGGAACACATATGAAGGATTGGACTTCATCCCATTTAATCAAATAGTCTCCCAATTTGGAATGGATAAGAATAGCTTTTTAGAATATCACCAAATTATATCTGTAGTCAAACAAAAATTTAAGCTCAATAAAATAGAATTACAAACACCACCAAGGGTATTAGACTTTTATAATCTCAAACCCCCCAAACTACTGTCTAAAGCAGGGGTGTCAATCATACGGCCCGCGGGCCGGATCCGGCCCGCAAACGGGTTCGATTTGGCCCGCGAGATGGTTGTGTAAACTTTGATAAACATTGTAGAGTGAAAATAAATTCGAATTTTTAAATTAAAAGAACTGCTATTCCCAATACGTCCACAAGATGGTGCAATAGGCATTGCGTTAAGCAAGCAAGCCGTTTATCCTCAGCCAGAGTAAATTCGTCAGTCAAGTGCAACCGGTGTTCTGACGTGCTATTTTGTTTTGCCTCCGAAATCTCATACAGCGTCTACATTTTGTGCTTCAGCCCATGATGTCTCTGTCAAAAAGGAGAAAAGTGGACACAGAGTGCAGGTTGTTCCAAGAAAAATGGACATCCTCTTATTTTTTCACGGAAGTGAAAGGAAAAGCTGTGTGTTTGGTGTGTTCACAGCACGTTGCAGTGCTGAAAGAATATAATCTCCGTCGCCATTATGTGAGTCTTCATGCTGAAAAATATGACAAATTTGAAGCACAGCGGAGAAGAGAGAAGGTGAATGAACTGTTGGCCGGACTGAAGAAACAGCAGTCTGCGTTTACTCACAGCCAAGATATCAGTGATGCTGCAGTGAAAGCTAGCTACCTGATTGCTAATGAAATTGCAGTCACTTCAAAACCATTTAGTGAGGGGGAATTTGTAAAAACGTGCATGATGAAGGCAGCGGAGATTGTGTGCCCTGAAAAGCGCCAAGCTTTTGCAAATATCAGCCTGACCAGAAACACAATAGCAGACAGGATTTCTGATATTTCAGCGGATTTGGACTGCCAATTAAGGGAAAAAGTAAAGTCCTTTATTGCTTTTTCAGTTGCTATTGATGAAAGCACGGACATTACAGATGTTGCTCAACTGGCGATTTTCATCCGCGGAGTTGATGACACGTTGACCGTCACCGAGGAGTTTGTTGAGCTGGTGCCCATGACGGATACAACAACAGCAGCTGATATTTTCACCACACTCGTTGGAGCGCTGGACAGGGTCGGAGTGCAATGGTCCCGCGCTGTAAGCCTCGCTACAGATGGCGCGCCCTCAATGACTGGGAGAAAATCAGGTGTTGTGACAAAGTTCAGAGAGAAAGTGCAATCTGCAAATGGAGGAGGTGATTTTTGGACTTTTCACTGTATTTTGCACCAGGAGAGTTTGTGTTGCAAGTCATTAAAGATGGATAACGTCATGAAAGTGGTCACCCAAACTGTTAATTTCATCCGATCCACATCTATACCCTGCCATACCACACTGAGGTAAGGTGGTTAAGCCGAGGTGCCGTGCTGAGGCGTTTCTTTGATTTACGAGAAGAAATTGAACAGTTCATGGAAGAAAAAGGCAAACCAGTGTTAGAATTTCGTTCTGCAGAATGGGTGCAGGACCTTGCATTTATGGTGGATGTTACAGAGCACCTTAATAACTTGAACAAACAGCTGCAAGGCCGCAACAAAGTTGTCACGCAGTATTACGACAGCATACGTTCTTTCAAGTTAAAGCTGTCTTTGTGGGAGACGCAACTCGCTGTTAATGACGCAGCTCACTTTCCCTGTCTGAAAAAAGTGTGTGCGTCCCAACATGAAGCCGACATGAAGCGGTTCAAAGATAAAATAACGGGACTGTTGAGGGAGTTTGAGCTACGCTTTCAGATTTTTGATGAACTTGAGAAGGACTTCAGAATTTTTTGCTCCCCATTCACCGTGAATCCCTCTGATCTCCCCACCAGCATCCAACTTGAAATAATAGACTTGCAGTGTGACTCGGATTTGAAGGGCAAATTTGTTACAGCTGGCTTGGACACATTTTATCAAAACCTTTTACCTGGTTACCCCAACTTGACAGCTCTTGCTGCAAAACTGTTGAGCATGTTTGGAACCACTTATCTTTGTGAGCAAGTTTTTTCTGTAATGAGTTTAAATAAAACAAAGCTGCGCTCGAGGCTCACACACAAGAACTTGAATCACATCCTGAAGTTAGCTGCCACTCAGGATGTGACTCCTGATATTGATGCTCTGGTGAAAGCTAAAAGATGTCAGGTATCAGGAGTCAAATAAACTTAAAGTGCTGCATGAAACTCTCTGATATAGCCATGTGATCTAGTTCTTTGAATCACTGAGGAATTTAATTTTTTTGTATTTCAAATTTTCTAATATACTTCAGGTGTTTTATTAATAGTGATGTTGTGCTTGTAATATTTTGGATACACTGTCCTCAGGCTCCCGCTTTGTTTTATATTGATTGAATTAAAACAAAGAAAACAATCTGAAGTTGTTTTTAATTTACCGGTCCGGCCCACTTGGGACTAGATTTTCCTCAATGTGGCCCCTGAGCTAAAATGAGTTTGACACCCCTGGTCTAAAGTATATAAGACACTGTCCAAAATAGACGATAAAATTGCAATCCCTATTGAAAAATGGGAGGTGGATCTATCAGTTAGCTTTGACCAGGACTTCTGGTCCCAAACTTGTTTAAAAACTTTTAAAATGATCAGAAACCCCAATTTACAATTAATTCAGTACAAAATTCTACAAAGAGTACACTATACAGGTCATCGGATGTTCAAGATGGGGTTTGTGTCGTCTGACACCTGTACACACTGCACAAACAACATTCCTGACAATTACATTCATGCACTGTGGTCCTGCCCACCTGTCCAGGAATTCTGGGGTAGAGTATGTGAGGATCTGTCAAAATGTCTGAAATGTCATATCCCAACTTCCCCCTCTCTTTGTTTACTGGGAAACCTGGACGATGTCCCGATTAAAACATCTTTGGTTCACGTGGTTCTGACTGCCATATGCATCGCTAAGAAAACTATCCTCTTGAATTGGAAAAATAGAGAAACTCTCTGCATTAACCAGTATAGAAATCTTTTGTTAGATCATATTGCACTTGATATAGCCTCTGCTTCCACTTCAGATGAATCTCTCTGGGCTCCTTTGATCGGTTCCATCACATAGCGAAGGTGGGGGGCCGTTGATGTTGTCCTGCGGGATGGTGTGGGTGGGGGCTGTGGGGTCTGAGTTTGGAGTATCCGGATGTTCCCTGGAGGTGGGTTCACTGGGGGTGTCTGGGACTGGGGGGCCGTTGCCCCCCTCTGGAGGTGCTTGGGTTGCCTCGGGGGGTGGACTGCTGGCGGTTGTGAGTGGGGCCCCTTGGGGATATTGGCGGCAGCCATGGGTCACTGCCTGGCGGCTGCAATGCCCCTGGGCGGGTCTGGGTGGGGGCCTGGGGGCTCGGGGTTGGGGGCGGCCGGCCCCGTGTGGGGATCTGGGCGGGGCCTTGACGGTCGGGTCCTGGCAGGTATGCTGCCGGGAAGAAGGCAGGAACACGCAGCAGTGCCTGGCCCGGGTTCGGGGGCCTCAGGTAGACATTGGCTCCTCTGCCGTTCTATCACAGGGGAGGGGGAGGTCCAGGAGGGGGAAGACCCAACCTTACCTGGATGTCCCATGTCTCATATATTCTGGAAGTTGTGCAAATGCAGGGATGGGCATATATATTCTGCTGGGGTGGGGCTGGGTTGGTGCCCTCGGGCTCCGTGGGGCTCTGTAATGCTGCTGCTTTGGGCCCTGGCAGGATGGGCTGGGGTCTCCATGCCCTGGGTGGCGGTTTGACAACGGAGGTGCCTAATGGGGCCAGTAGGGGAGCTGGCTCCCTGGAGGGCTAAGCCTAACCAGCCATTCCTCCCCATCCCCGCATATTTCTCTCCTCCTGCTCCCTCACATCATCACACAAACATACACATAGGACCTTGGGGGTTGGGCAAGTCAGGGAGTGCGGGTATGGACCCCATTTCCGCATTCCTGTGGCAACCTGCCCCCCAATTTTATTTGCACCTTATACACTTCCACTGACGACATTCCACACAAACACACACTTAGGGCCTTGGGAGTGAGCACATTCAACGGCATTTGGCAGGGGGATATTTCAGCCTCCTCCCGAGTGCCGGTGCCCACTTCCAATTTTAAACCGCACTTAGACACTGATGGCTGAGGGTGTAAGTGGGGTGGTGCGGTGGCATCAGCTGGCATAGGTCGGATGATGCCCGCACTGCCCGCTCACCACAGCCATGGAATACACCTCATGATCACACAACACTATATTGGAGCAGGCAGAGGGAGACTAGGGGTCTTAGCCACCTCTGTTGTCACTAGGCTTCCTGGGGCCGGAGGCTAGGAGGGAGATCTGGCCATCTGGTTGGGGTCTGGGGTGGTGGGTTGCTGTGCTCGGCATTGGGCGGGGGAGCCTGCTCATCAGCACCCCAGCAGAAAGGGTCAAACTCTGGTTGCCGGTGATGGTTGTACCCAATGTGCAGCAGTACCGGGACCAGAGTGAATAGGGTGTGTATGGGGAGCATGAGTGGGTGTCCGGCGTGCATTTTTGTAAGTCTTGGGTTGTATGTGCATGTGTGAGCATGAGGGAGGGAGTGTGTGACTGTGTTTGTGTATGACTGTATATGTCAGGTGGGGCCTTTGACTCCTCCCCTCTCCTGGAACTTCTCTTGATGATATAGATCTTTGTCCCCCCTCCCCCTGCCACACCTGGTGTGAGGGGTTGTGCCATGGTCTGCCTGAGTGTTCGTGGCAACCGGGTCTGGGGGTTTAAGATTTTGGCATCTGCCTGATAGATCCCGGTGGCTGCCTGGTGGGGTCTGGGTCCCTGGGCTCTGCTGGGTCCCCGGCGGGGGTGGTCACCCCTGGGTCCCGGGTCACTGGGCCTCGGGCTCGGCCGGCTAGGGGGTGGGAGGCTGCGGGCGGGCCTGTGGGCTTGCCGCTGATGTCTCCCGGGACTCTGCCGGCTGCTGGTTGTGGCCCCCCGGGGCGATCCTCTGTGCCTCTCGAGGGGGGCGGGGGCCTTCCTGGTTGCAGTCTCCATGGGGTTCCTGTGTTCTGGGGCAGCGCCTGGATCTCTGGGACTTGGAGCTCGCCCCGTCTCCTGCGCGTCTTTGGGGGGCGGATCTGTGGTCCCTCACACTCTCTGTTGGACGCTCCTATAGAGAAACCTTACATAAACAATCGCGTGTACACACACAGGTGCTCACATGGTGCTCTCAAAAGTATGGGCTTGGGCATGTTAAACACAGGTCTTAAGACTATGGTGGGCACTTAATACACTGTGATTTATTATTGTGATTCTTCAGTTAAGCAATGTTGATTATATATTTTTTTCATCAAGTTGACGCAGTGATAGCTAGATCTTGTTGTATTGTTGTGTCCCTTTTTTTTGTCCTTTTGTTTTTTGTTTTTTGTCTTTTTCTGCAGGTCTAGAAGCAGACTCTTGTTCATTGTTTATTTTTGTGGACCCCCCCCCCCCTCTCTCTCTCTCCCCACCTTTTCCTTTCTCTTTCACCTCTGTCTCCGTGTCTGGTCGGAATTACAAAGCATTCAACAACAATAACAATAAAGTTTTAAGTATCAGGCGTGACATTAAAAGCAAACGCTTTGATGCTCCACCTGAGAATAAATCTGTAAGGCTTGTCACCAGCATTCAGACATCAATTCTGCTTGCTTCACAGCCAGACAGGACATGGTAAAAAAAAAAAAATTGTGTTTATAGGATAATTAATCAGAGCGGTGGCAGCACCGTTAGTCAGACGAGATTCATCATCATTGGTGATTTTCACACGTAAAAACAGCAGTGTGTCATTTAAATCTAAACATTTTTCTCCATCCCCGGGGTCAAAAAAATTCTACAGGTGCGTTATCTGTGAGGGTTGATACGAGTTCAGTCTCGCTGTAGATTTCATCCTCGATAGACAACTGCGTCATGGGGATGGTGAAAAGATCCAATTCTCTCAGTGTGCATTCTGATGATATACTGTGAAGCAGTGACATGATTAGAAAAAATCAGTGCCCTGCCGATAGTTCCTCTTAGGTTTTGTAACTGTGGCTTTTATTCTGCAGTCGTTTCGTGAAGGAGTTCCCTTCTCATGCCTACCGGGGGTGTTTTCCGGACTCTTCTTGACAGAACTGCCAGCCCCGAACACTCCTCTGCGTTAAGCTCTGTGATTTTGCTGACAGCCTGCGTCAGCACATCTGATGCGATCCCCATCGCAACCTTTTGAGATGTGGCTTTGCCAAAGCAAATCCTTTTTTAACAAAAGGTGAATCTGAACAGTCTTGAGAATATTGAACCAAAACCGCGGCCGTGAAAATAAGGAACACCCTTGAAACCGGGGAGGTCCTGACCAGCCTGGGTTACGTAATAATTAATAAATCGATTGGGGTCATTTCTCTGCATGTGATAAATCATTTTTCATTTGCAAGAGGTATGCTGCGCTGAGTAAAAGAGCGTGACTGATCCTCCCACCCCGATTAACGCACGTTATATTCCTGTATTTCTCTGATGGGTGGGAGTGGGCCGGAACTTGAGCCTTATGGTAGTTTTGCCGTATAAAAAATGGATCGGTTTATTCTGATCAGATTTAATTTCAATTTGGATGTTTTCTATATGATTCGTAGCGAGGGGAATGTAATCGAAAGGGTTAAACACATGGGTGATCGTATCCCCAAATGCACTTTCTACTTTCACCATGCCTTATAGTGGCACATACACATCACCCACAAGCTGCTCTGCCACCACATCTGAATAACAATAAAACTGATAACAACCACAGGTTAAATCGGGAAGATGAGGCGCTGATTTGACGGGTCTAATGTTGGATGAAAATTCAGGAGTCAACCACTCCTCAACATTAAAACCTGGCATATACGCTAAAGGTGCTGTAAATCTAAATTCTATTTCGCCCCCGGTCTGATATTTGAGCGTGGGATCAACCCCCCCCCCTAAAAATCAAATAGAAACCAGGGTTAAACTTTCTCATAGCAGACTGGCAATCGGTCTTAAGTTGTTGCATTCTTTTATAATATCCGGTACTAATCGGAGCTCCGTTGATTTTCTGATGTTCAGTCATTCTACGCCATTCGACAAAAGCATGCTCACGCGGCAGATTGAACCACGAGTGTGTGTGTGTAATTTCCGTTAATCCAACCTGCCACGGTCCATTCAAATTAATATGACGCGCCAGATTGGTCCTATAACTGGAAATTGTTTTATTTTTAAATACATCGGCGCTGGCGTTACAGGGTAACGTGATATAAAAACCCTCCTCCTGTTTCAGATCCATATTTTTATTTTTTGTCTATTTTTAAACATCATGGAGGTCTAAAGCTTTGACCCTACTGTTGAATTTAGACGGCCAACCGAACCATTTAACAAAAGCTTGTCGCTCCCCTCGGAATGTCCTGCGCTTTAAAATATTTCAACATGGAAGGATCTCTCGGTCGATATGTTTACTTTCTGCAACTCGGCTTCATAAAATGAGCCTTCTATCGGTTCCCCATCAAAATCTTTGAGTTTGTAAATGGGCGGTGAACGAGGTATGCAATCAGAAACTGAACAGTTCATGTGTAAAACTCTGTTTATACTTTTTTATCTAAAACACCTCTGAGTTTGGAAATTCTCACAACTTCATTTTCTTTGCAGGTTTCAGTGAAGTAGATCCATAAAGGTTGCGAAACACCTGCCGTTGATTTTCCACGTTTACTTCGGTGGGGGGCATTTTGATTGATGAGTGGTAGCTGTGATTATAACCTCGTACTAAATCTTGAACCACATCTAGGTAGCGATGGGTGTTTTTGGCTGTGAAAAATCTCCACATTCTACCTTTTAGAGTCCTGTTAAATCTCTCCACAATGCTGGCCTTTACGCTGCTGGCTGTGGCAAAGTGCACAATGCTGTTTCTTCGTTAAGGCATCAAATTTACCCGCATCTGTCTGCAGTTTTTTAGGGGTCCCACCCTCTTTCAAAACCGATGCAAAGGTTTCTGTAACGTCTTTACCCATTTTATTTTTGATGACTCGTAAATAGGCTTTCTTTGAAAATACATCCATGACAGTTAATAGATAATTAAAACCATTGTTTGATTTTGATAACCATAGCATTTTGCATTAGTCAGCTTGAAACTGCTTTAGAGGCCCTGAGACAAAAACCTTATTTCTTACAAAACAAACTCTTGCTGGTCTGTGAAGTGTGTAAGAGTCCTGTTCTGAAAGAAAATTGCTGACCTTATCCGATGAAACCTTCTCCCTAATCTCTCGTTGTAAACCGGCTCTAAACCTACACCTCCGTATCTACCGGGGTGTGACGGTGTGTA